CGATTCGGTGTCTCAGTCTGTCACCCAGGCTGGAGTACAGTGGCACGCTCACGGCCACTGCAGCCTTGCTGGGCTCGCTGGGCTCAGGTGATCCTTCCGCCTCAGCCTGGAACTACAGGCATGTGCCACCATACCAGGCTAATTTTTTGACTTATTGTAGAGACGAGTTCTCGCCATGTTGCCCAGGCTGGTCTCAAACCCATGGGTTCAGGCGGTCCTCTCGCCTCCGCCTTCCATAGTGCTGGGATAATAGGTGTGAGCCACCACGCCCAACCATCTTAGTAATTTTTCAAAATGCAGATTCCTGGGCCTTGTCTAAACCTATTAGATCATACTCCTTGGGGACAGGACCTAGATCCTTGTATTTTTTCACAAGCTTTCCAGATAATTTTTATGTTGGCTAAAGTCTTACAGTCACTGCTCTAGATTTGGCCTTTATGGAGTTTTTTGTTTGTTTCTTTGTTTTTGAGTCAGAGTCTCTGTCGCCCAGGCTGAAGTACAGTGGCATGCTCATGGTCCACAGCTTCAACATGCTGGGCTCAGGTGATCCTTCCACCTCAGCCTTTCAAGTAGCCGGTACCACAGGCGTGCACCACTACACCCGGCTAATTTTTTTTTTTAATTGTAGAGATGCAATCTTGCCAAGTTGCCCAGGCTGGTCTCAAACCCCTGGGCTGAGGCAGTCATCTCGCCTCCACCTCCCAAAGTACTAGAATGACAGGCATGAGCCATCGTGCCCAGTTGTTCTAGATACAGCATTTAATAATTCACAACCAGCTGGGCTCGGTGGCTCAGCCTATAATCCCACGCCTTTGGGAGGCTGAGGTGAGTGGACTGCCTGAGCCCACGGGTTCGAGACCCACCTGGGCAGGTGAGACCTCATCTCTACAAGAAATCAAAAAATTAGCCGGGTGTGGTAGCGCACGCCTGTAGTTCCAGCTACTCGGAAGGCTGAGGCGGAAGGATCGCCAGAGCCCAGCGGGTCGAGGCTGCGGTGGCCGGGAGCGGCCACTGCACTCCAGTCTGGTCGGCAGAGTGAGACTCCAACTCAAACATAATAATAATAATTCACAACCACCAGGGAGATGAGCTCCTCATTTTCCCATTTTGCAGATGAGTAAACTGAGGCTAAGAGAAGGAAGGCAGTTTGTCCAGAGACTCACAGCTGAGGGCAGTACCAGAGTGCACACTCACCCGCAGACTCCCAGCCCACAGCTCTCAGTTATCCCCACAATCTCCAGGGTCTTCCCAGCTCCCTCTTCAGAAAGGATGTTACCCTTGCAGTCCCTATGTCTAACCTTCCTCCTCCTGCTACCTTCCCTGAAGCCTGAAGAAGAACACCCACACTTACTTCTACACCAGCTTTGCCGCCTACATCTTTGGCCTGGGCCTCACCATCTTCATTATGCACATCTTCAAGCACGCCCAGGTAAGCCGGACTGCACTCTGTCAGAAGTGGTCCCTGCAAATAAGAGGGGCTTACAGAGCACTTAGGTGTGACGTGCGCAGGCAGTCTGACGGCAGGCTCTCCCCAGCGGTGTCAGTAGTCGCATCTGTGGTTCTCTTGACCTTTCACCTGTGGCTGCAAGATGGCCGTCTTGCCTGTTGCCTTCATCAAGAAGGCAGAAACTTTCCCAGAACCCTCTCAGCATCTCACGGGCTAGATTGTTGTCCAGGGCCACCCTGGCTACAGGAGAGCCTAGGAAAGAGAATCTCTGGTGCTCAGCCTTGGTAGTGAGGACAGACAGAGAAGAACAGGACTGGGGTGGCTGTTGGGTGTTTCAGCGGGGATGCGTGACAGGGTGTTTGGGCCTCCCCTCTTCCCACTCCCAGTCAGGCCGGGCTCTGCCTCCTCCCACTGAGATGGGTGCTGGGTCCTGAGCCACCAAAGAGTGAACCAGTGTAGGTTGTGGGCTGGGAGCTTCCGTGAGGCCCAGAGAAGGGAAAGTGAGCAGACAGGATCGCCCTACTCTCCTGGAAATAAGAGAGCTGTTTGCTAAGCACGTCCCACGTGCCAGGCCCTGCGCTCATGAGGGTTCCTGTGAACGGACTCAAACCTGGCTCAGCATGAAAGCCAGGCCCAGGCTCTGTAGCCCCAGCTGTGGGAAAGGCAGTGTGGAACAGAGGTGAGAAGCTGAGGGAACCCTGTTGTGAGTCCAGAAGCCATCTGCTCTCTGGGGGACTCTGGGCAGGTTGCTGAAGGGTTTCTGTTTTGTTTTGTTTGAGTCAGAGTCTCACTCTGTCGCCCAGGCTGGAGTGCAGGGGCGCGGGTACCGTGAGAACCCCGCTGGTCCAGTTGCTGTCACTGGCGCTGCGGTTCCTGCTCCCCTGCCCCTCCCCGGCCACGGAGGAGCTGCTTTGAATTAATCACAAGGACTGTTGGTTGATTACTCTTGCCAGGAACTGGGGGTAAACTCTTCTGCTCATTAACTCGTTGGCTTTATAGAGCTCCCAAGGGAGGTGCCAGTACCGTCTTTTACAGAGGGTCCGAGGGCCCCTCGCCTGTACATGGAGAAACCAAGACTCGGTGGGGAACTACCTCTCAGTCACTTGTGCACTGACAAGCGACGTGCACTTGGCAAGGGTGTTGCAGAGCGTGATTGGAGGTCTCTGCTCCTGCTCCAGCCCTGAGAGAGCCCAGGCCGGAGCCAGTTCCCCCGGGGGCCACCAGGTGGCAGGCTTGCCTTCTGCCTGGCTGGACTCAGAGGGGGATCCCGTCCAGAGCCCTCAGGGTGGGGGCAAGGCAGGAGCGGGGGCTTCCCTTTGTGGGGAAATGTGGCCTGGAGAGAAAAGGAGCTTCCCTAGGCCGCATAGTGAGTCAGGATGGGCCCTGCTGAAGCCCCGGGCCTCGGCCCGTGCTGCTCCCCAGGAACCCAGCTCTTCTACCCAGTCCAGACAGGCATCCCGAAAACCCCTGGGAGGGGGCGCAGGACCCGGGGGGCTGTTCACGGGGCCCACCCTCCAAGACACAGGCAGTCCCGGGGCCAGCGCAGCTTGAGGTGGGAGGCGCCTCTGCCTGGGTGCCCTTCACCCTCAGAAACCCCTCCAGGCCAGGGAGCTTCCTTAGGAAGGCACCTAGAGACGATCAGGTACACTGTGCAGGTCCAGAGAGGGAGGTGGTTCAGTCACAGTCACACAGCTCAAGGCCAAGTCTGGACGACAAGCTGGGAGTCAGCCCCCGCTCCCTGCCCTGAGCTGTACGTCCCAGCTTCTCCTTGGCACTGACTTTCTTTGGAGACGTTCCCTGGCACCTGAGAGAAAAGAAAGTAATATAAGCCACTATTCCTCTGATAGTAGTGAACTTGAGGGAGCACTCAGTTTCTACCCACCTCTCCTTAGAAGCTCTGTATTTTCTCCATTCTCGCTTTGGTGGAGAGGACAGGCTTAGCAGCAAAAGGGCCTGAGTCCAAATCCTGATCAACTGTGTGGATTTGGACAGGCCCTTCTCCCTCCTGATCCTGTCTCCTCATCAATAGAATGGGATTGAGGAGATTTCTTTTTTCTTTTGAGTTGGAATCTCACTTTGCCACCCAGACTGGAGTGCAGTGGCACGCTCCCGGCCACCGCAGCCTCGACCTGCTGGGCTCCGGCGATCCTTCCGCCTCAGCCTTCCGAGTAGCCGGAACTACAGGCGTGTGCTACCACGCCTGGCTCATTTTTTTTTTTTTTTTTTTTAATTGTAGAGACAAGGTCTCACCAAGTTGCCTGGGTGGGTCTCAAACCCGTGGGCTCAGGCAGTCCACTCGCCTCGGCCTCCCAAAGTGCTGGGATTACAGGCTGAGCTACTGAGCCTGGCCGAGGAGATTTCATGAGTAGATTTGTTTTTTATTTTCTGTCTCATTAATTTCTGCCTTTCCTTTCATCGTTTTCTTTCTACTTCTTGAATGTTTATTTTGTTCTTGTCCTAGCTTCTTGTGAAAGCTTAGATTATTTATTTCAAGTCTTTCCTATTATCTAATAAATTAACTTAGAGTTATAAAATTTTCCTCTTGAGTACTACTTAGGCAGCCTCTCATAGGTTTGGTGTGGCCCTTTGTCATTGTGATCTTTTGTTTGTTTGTTTTGTTTTTTGCTCTTAGCCCAAAGCTGAGCTCATAGCAGAGACCTGATGCAGTGGAAGAAGCACTACTGCTCGGGTTCAAATCCCAGCTGGGGTACCTCCACGCCCTGTGTGACCTTGGGCAAATCATTCTCCCTCTCTGAACTTCAGTAACGTCGTCATCTGTAAAACCCAGGTCCTGATACTTAGGGTATTGTTAGATTCAAGAATAGCATATGTAAAGTGGTGTGGATCACAGCCCACCCACGATAGGCACCAAGAAGTGGTCTGGCCAGGCACAGTGGCTCACACCTGTAATCCCAGGACTTTGGGAGGCTGAGGCAAGAGGATTGCCTGAGCCCAGGGTTCGAAACCAGCCTGGCCAACTTGGTGAGACATTGTCTCTACAATAAATCAAAACAAAATTAGCCAGGTGTGGTGGCACGCGCCTGTAGTTCTAGCTACTTGGAAGGCTGAGGCAGAAGGATCACCTGAGCCCAGCAGAGATCGAGGCTGTGATGGCTCTGAGCGTGCCACTGCATTCCAGCCTGGGAGACAGAATAAGACTCCAACTCAAAAAAAAAATGGTCTGAAGGTTAGGGTTTTGGGGGGATGGGAGAAGAGGTAGAAGATTCCTTTGTTTTCAGGCCAAGGGCTGACTTTACACTAAGCATGAAGTCTTCTCACCCTCACTGCATTCACCTCGAAGACAAGCCTTCTGACTTTGTGAGCACCCATGAAGGTGCCATTCACCTAGATTTACCAGACCCTCTTCAGAGCATGAGGCTTACCACGGGAACAGACAGCTAAGGATCCTGCCCTTGCCGAGTTCACACCTCTTGGGGAAGGTGATTCCAAGCTGCAGTGGGCCCGACATTCTGTTACACGTTGCTCGGAAGTGCCAGGCGCGGTGGCTCGAACCTGTAATCCCGCACTTTGGGAGGCCGAGGTGGTGGGCAGACTGCCTGAGCCCATGGGTTCAAGAACAGCTTGGATAACTTGGCAAGATCTCATCTCTACAATAAATAAGAAATTAACCAGGCATGGTAGTGTGCGCCTGTAGTTCCGGCTACTTGGAAGGCTGAGGCGGAAGGATCGCTGGAGTCCAGCAGTCGACATCGGGGTGACTGTGAGCATGCCATTGCACTCGAGCCTGGGTGACTGACTCCAACTAAAAAAAAAAAAAAAATTGCCGGGCTCGGTGGCTCAGCCTGTAATCCCGTGCCTTTGGGAGGCTGAGATGAGTGGATTGCCTGAGCCCGCAGGTTCGAGACCCGCCTGGGCAGCGAGACCTCATCTCTACAATAAAATCAAAAAATTAGCCGGGCGTGGTAGCGCGCGCCTGTAGTTCCAGCTACTCGGAAGGCTGAGGCGGAAGGATCACCGGAGCCCAGCAGGTCGAGGCTGCGGTGGCCGGGAGCAGTCACTGTACGCCAGTCTGGGCGACAGAGTGAGACTCCAACTCAAAAAAAAAAAAATTTGCTCAGAAGTGCTGGGAGCGACAGTTAGAGGGGACCTTGAGAGCATGCAGCAAGGGGATCTGACTGCATGCAATGGAGGCGTCCCCGCAGAAGTGACGCCTGAGCTGGGGTCCGAAGGAAGAGGAAAGTGGGCTGAGTGTGCCAGGCTAGAAACTGCACATGCAGAGTCTTGTGGCTGGAGGTGACAGAGAGGCTCGTGTAGCCAGAGTACGGCAGGTCAGATGAGGCTGGAGAAGGAAGCTTGATGGGGTTGTGTCTCATCAGACCTTCAGGCCATTGGGAGCATTAGAAGATGGAGCTGTAGAATAGTGGAGTGATGTCTAACTTGCAGATGCTGTAAGAAAACAGATTGCTGGAGAGTCTAGCATGCCTGGGGGTCAGTCCTCAGTTTAGAGTTTAGACCTCCTCTGTGGCCTGGGCTGTTCTCCCTCCTCCCAAAGTCTCAGTCTTTGTCCTCTGCCAAAGGAAAACCAAAGCAGGGTGGAGGTTAGGCAGAACATCCCTGGGGGGCTGAGCTCAGTGCCTGCTCAGTGGGAACCCTGTGAACAGGGGCCCTTCGTATAATGGTCCTTTTCTTCAGACTCAGCTTTACCTGGAGTCTTGGCACAGACTGTGGGCCAGATTCCTCAGGTATGGATCCTGCTGGAGCCAGTGACCAGCTAGGCTACCTTAGTAAGGGTGCAGCAAGTGCTGCTACACACAAGGCAGCTGTGTCATCGTCATTGTAACAGCACTTCCTGGGGCATTTGCCGAAATACAAGCTTCTGGTCCCAGGCCTCAGAAGTGGGGTCTCTGGGCAGAGGACCAACCCAGGAGGTTGCATTTTTGAACCTGGTTTCCCAGGTGACTCAGATACTGCCAGCCAGCCTCCCAGGAACCCTTGAAGCCCTGCGCGCTTGGGTCTCTTTGTGTTTCCTGTGTTCCCTTTCTAGAAGAGCATCCCTGGTCTGGGAGTCAGGAGCGCTGGGTTCAGGCCCATCCACTGGCTTGCTCTGTGAGCCTGGGCCAGTCACTGTCCCTCAGCCCAGCCCAGGAGAGGGTTGAAGTCCTAGACATGGCCCTGAGTGGGTACCCTGCCCAGCACTGCCTCACCAGCCTATGTTTTCTCGTAGCCTGCCCTCCTGTACCTGGTCCCTGCCTGCATCGGTTTTCCCGTTCTGGTGGCACTGGCCAAGGGAGAAGTGACAGAGATGTTCAGGTAAGGCAGGGTGAGGAACACACCCTGGCACAGGCCCAGGTATGCCTGTGGGCAGTCAGAGAGCCTGCTGGGGGTGTCTGCACATCTCCAGGAGATGCTGTCCCTCCAACCTGCTCCACCCCTTGCCTGTCCACCAGCACACGGTTGCCTTGCCTGCAGGCACCAGTGAGAACTTCCCCAGGATAGGAGCCTGGGAGGGCAAGGCCCAGGGTCCTCTAGACAGCCCTCAACATCCAAATGCCAGCTGCATCTTAGGAAAGGAACAGGCCGGGCGCAGTGGCTCACACCTGTAATCCCAGCACTCTGGGAGGCAGAGACGAGAAGATTGCCTGAGCCTAGGGGTTCAAGACCAGCCTGGGCAACTTGGCGAGAATTCGTTTCTATAGTAAGTCAAAAAATTACCTGGGCATGGTGGCACACACCTATAGATCTAGCTACTTGGAAGGCTGAGGCTGAAGGATCGCCTGAACCCAGCAGGTCAAGGCTGCAGTGGCTGTGAGTGTGCCACTGCACTCTAGCCTGGGTGACAGAGTGAGACTCCGACTTTTAAAAAAAAGGAGAAAAAAGGATAGGAACGGCTTGTGTGGCTTTCCCTCTGGGCAGCCCGCTGCTGGGAGCCTTGGGTCCGCAACCTGGCTCTGCCACTGGGCAGCTTCAGGCATGTCTTTCACTTCCCTGACCTGAGTCCCCCCATGTAATAGAATGGGGGAGGTGGGCTGCCCTGGTGTTGTAGAAAGGGCCTTGAGGAGGTCACATATTCGCCTCAGGGACTGTGACCCATCTCAGCTTGTGTCTCACTCACAGATACCCCTCCCCCAGGGCCATATCCGTACCTGCCGCACACTGCACAGCCCCACCCATTCCCCAGGGCCTGCGTGACTTCAGCAGGTGTCTGCCCCCAGAACTGCTGACCCCGCCCACCAGGAACCTAGAAATAGCAGCCAACTGCCAGTAAAGCTGCCCGCTCAGGCCTTCCTCCCAGCTCCAGCTGCCTGGCCTCCAGGTCATCCCTCCTGTGCACCTGGCTGCCCGCAGGGGAGTCTGTGACTCACCCTCCCCCGTACCTGCTTCTGCCCTGCCTAGAATCCCCAGCTCCCAGCCTGCCTGGCCACATCTCCTGGCCCGGCAAAGCCTTGTGGTCTCTGAGGCAAGTGGGGGCGTGGGGGTGAACTTCTGGAGCAGGCATGGCACCTGCTCCCTGCCCCTCCCTCTGGCTCTCATCTAGCCTCAGCTCCCCCTGCCCTGGCCCTTGGGGCAGCCTCCCCAGTCCAGTGCCCTTGGGCAAAGCTCTTAGCCCCACAGACAGGGCAGGGAATGTCCCAGCATCCCCCACTCCACCTGCTTGGTGCTAAATGTCGAGCCATACAAGGCCTCTGGCCTCTCTTTCTGCCCTCCCCGCCACCCAGTGTCCCTCTTTCCGTCACCTCTCTCCCAGTTCTCCACCCTTTCTTTTCCTCTTTCCCTCTGATTGGCACTCCCCCTTTTTTTTATCGTTTGTTTGTTTTTAGCTAGGCAACATACTCACATGGGTCAGAACTCTGTAGTTAGGCCAGGGGGAGCACCCTCAGGCTCCGGCCTCCCCACAGAGGCCAGCCCTGTTACACAGACGTGCAGACACCTGTGCACCGAAATGCAAACATGCAGATATGTGCTCTTGCACAGTTGGTGGCGTTCTTGGAGCATTCCGCGTCTTGGTCATTTCACGGAACAGCCGCTCTTAGAGGTGTTTCTGCAGCAGCACACAAATCTCTGGAGCATCCTTGTTCCTCTGCACAGCTATATCGTGTGCCTCTGTTTACAGCTGCCTCTTTTCTTTTTTAATTCTCCATGTAATACCACCTTCTTTCCAGAGTCTGGAAGTGCAGAAACAGATAAAAATAAGACAGTTCTACTCTCTGCTTCTGGGAGAGGGAGTCTCTGTCCTCGTAGTCTTTCCTTCTCCATCTCTTTTTTCTGTCTTCTGTCTCTCACAGCTACGAGTCCTCAACGGAAATCCTGCCTCATACCCCGAGGCTCACCCACTTCCCCACGGTCTCGGGCTCCCCAGCCAGCCTGGCCGACTCCATGCAGCAGAAGCTAGCTGGCCCTCGCCGCCGGCGCCCGCAGAATCCCAGCGCCATGTAATGCTCAGCGGGTGCCCACCTGCCCGCTTTCCCCCACTGCCCCGGGGCCCAAGGTAGGGCAGATCCTCAAGCTCCCATGTACAGGGCAGGGAGCGTGGCCAGGGCAGGCCGCAGGGGCAGCGCCTCCAAGAGCACCAGGCAGTCATGCCCGCCCCAGCACTGGGGAGGAGAGCACCCCAGGCCCTTTGTGTCCTCAGTGATACGGGGCTCACCGGGGGATGAATGTGAATGGCCTCGTCATACAGCAGTAGATCATGTTACTGTTCACTGTAGATCCATGACCCTGGGCAGCTCGCTTTCCTCTTTGGGAGCTTTTCTTCACTATAAGTGGACACATTCCTGCCTCACGGGGTTGATCTGGTGAGGAAACGTGTATCTTGTCCTCAGCATAAATTCAGTTGCTCAATAAGTAAAGCCCTTAGAAAGAGCTGAGCCACCCAGGCTCGGTGGCTCAGCCTGTAATCCCAGTGTTTTGGGAGGCCAAGGTGAGTGGATTGCCCGAGCCCGCGGGTTCGAGACCCGCCTGGGCAACTTGGCGAGACC